AGTAATTGCTTTTATAATTCTTTTAGTTTAACAATAATGAATAATTGAAAGTTTATAATTTAACTTTCACTAAATGAAATATTTATTGGAGAATAATAATTGTATTAATTATAATTACTTATAATAATAATAATAATAACAATAATAACGTAAATAAGTAACACTAATTATATATTTATAAAATAATTAATATAAATATAAAATGATTATATCCCAATTAATAATTAACATTATTAAAATACTTATTAATTACCATTGTTATAATTAAGGAATTAATTATTATTAGTAATTAATAGCTGTAATTAATTAATCAGAAGTAATTAACAATAATTATTATTAGTAATCAATAGCTGTAATTAATTAATCAGTTTAGTAGTTAATACATAGTTTCCTTTTTTTTAGGAAAGGAATGAAACTGGGAGCTTCCCACTTATCACACTCTACATGGTGGTGGGCTCCACTCTACATGTTAGTGGGCTCTTTTCTTTAACTACCACTAATCAAAATTTGGCACATGTCTAGTGGGCTATGTTCTTGAACTACCACTAATCAAAATTTAACACGTGTCCATTTTGTTTAAATCTTTGGCCTGAAATCATTCCTTTAATATATATTATGTATGTATGCATATAAATTAGATTTGCTTTTATAATTCGTTAAGTTTAACAATATTGAATAATAGAAAGTTTTATAATGTAACTTTCATTAAATGAAGTATTTATCGGAGAATAATAATAGAATTAATTATAATAATAAGATTAATTATAATTACTTGTAATAATAATAATGTAAATAAGTAATACTAATTATATATTTATAAAATAATTAATATGAATTAATATTAATATAAAATGATTATATCCCAATTAATAATTAACATTATTAAAATACTTATTAATTATCATTAATTAATTAACATTCTGAAGTAATAATTATCATCATTAGTATTAGTAATAATTAATTATAATTATTGATATTAATAACAATATAATTATATTAACTAATATAATATTATTAATTATAATTACTTATAATAATATAATTAATTATTTCATATAAATTTATGAATTATAATTTCCGATGATAATTATAATATAAATAATTAACATTAAATATTTATTTTTAAAATAATTAATATGAGTTAATATAAATATAAAATGATTATTTCCGAATTATTAATTACTATTATGAAAATATTTATTAATTATCATTAATTAATCATCATTTCGAATTAATAATGAGCAATATTGTGAGTAATAAATTATCAATAATTAAGTATTAGCAGTAATTATTATAAGAAATAATTTTCAGTAATTAATTATTATCAATGAGTAATTATTATTAGTAATTAATAGTTGTAATTAATTAATTAGAAGTAGTTAACAGTAATTATTATTAGTAATCAATAGATGGAATTAATTAATTAGTTTAGTAGTTAACATTAATTAATAGCATAGTTTTTTTTTTTTTTTTTTCAGAAAGGATTGAAAGTGGGAGCTTCGCATTTCTCACAATTCTATATGGTGGTAGGCTCCACTCTCTATGTTAGTAGGTTCTTTTCTTTAATTACCAATAATTAGAATTTGACACATGTCTAATGGGTTCTGTTCTTGAACTACTACTAATTAGAATTTGACATGTATCTATTTTGTTTAAATCTTTAGAATGACAGGTGTCTGAATGTAAATGAGTCACATGTCTGATTGTAGAGGGCTTTGACTTGAAATCATTCATTTAATATATATATTAGATTTGTATATATATCAAAATATATTTAAAACATTATTTATAGTTTATATTTTTTATTTATTTTAAGTAAATTTATTTTTCAAAAAAATACGATTATCTAAAAAAATTTCGGGGATTCGGGTCCCCATGGGGAACCCATCCCCGTCGGGGATTGGGGATGAAGGACAAATTTTATCATACGAGGAATATGATCCCCGCCCTGAACCCGCCCCATTGCCATTCCTACTCACCATGCATTGGGAACATCTCCCATAAATAATAACATATAAGTATAGGAGATATTCCCAATGCATGGTGGGATGTGCCTGTGAGGTCGTTGTGAGGCTCCCCTATATGAGGAGTAGATTTGGTCCCGGGCCTAGGCGGTGATAGCCTTGAAGTCTATGAACCCCTCAAAGGGGAAGCTCGACATTGCTTGTAGCATGAGCCTGGATGGACCTATGCCATGTCAAGCTTAATGGGCCATTAGCCTGATTTTTTCTTTTGAGTTTTTGAAGTATTTTTCACTTTTTCTATTTTTGTTAAGTAAAAATGATAAATAATTTAAAAAAAACCAAAACAATTAACAAAAAAAGAAATAAACAATAAATTAAAAAAATAAAATGTTTATTTTATTTTAATTTAATGCATACAATTGATCATATGTGAAGTAATAAAATTAAATTAAAAAATATATATTGGAATTAGAATAAAATAATATAATATAATATAATAAAATTTTATAATGGCATTGAAAAATATTGGCTTCAATTTTTTTTTCAACTTCAAGTTCCACCCCCTTCATCTCCTACATCTTGATTTGCATCATCTCCATCTAGTGAACCACCACCAGTTGAAGTATCAAGCACTCCCTAATCTATCATTTGCAACTAGCCAATCCTTCAAATATATGTATATCTCTAGGCTTTCATTGTTCATGTAGTTTCTTTTCTCATCCAATACCCTAGTACCTACACTAAAACAAGACTCTGGTGGAACTGTGGACATCGAAATGGTTAATAGATCACATGTCATGGTGGCAAAGTATTGGATTTTTTTTGATATTATTTTTACTAGACTAAAATATTAAGATTATGAATTCCCTGTAGATGAGGAAACTTGTCAAATTAACTTGTAAATAAAAATGAAGTATAAATGAATTTGTTGATAAAGTGGCAATTGATGGTTTCCTTTTATTTTATTAGGGAAAATTCTAGATTAATAGGATGTACTTTGGGTCTAATGTCACTTTGGTCTCCAAACTTTAAAACACGACAATTTAGTACCTAAACTTTCAAAATGTGCCAATCTATTACTTGCCATTAACCAACCCGTTTGGTGCCATTTGAAAAGACACAAATACCTTTCAAGTGTCATATAATTTTCTTTATCAATCATCCAAACGTTGACAAAAAATGAATAGTTCCAAATCCTCGCCTCTTCTGTTCAAGAAAGTTGGGGACCTTGGCGTCACCGGAATGCCCACTGAGACATAACCCCAACTTTTTTGAATAGATGAGGCAAGGATTTGAGATTGTTCATTTTTATCAACATGTGGATGGTTGATAAAGAAAAAATAGATGGCATTTAAAGGGCATTTGTGTCTTTTCAAATGTCACTTAATGGCTGGTCAACCAATTGGTTAATGGTAGGTACTAGATCGACACATTTTAAAGGTTCGGGTACTGAATCGTCGCATTTTAAAGTTCGGAGACCAAAGTGGCATTGGGCCCAAAGTACATGGTACTAATTAGGAATTTTCCCTATTTATTAATGATAAAACTATATCTAATCCACTAATAGAACTAGTGGTTCCAATTAGGGGTGTGCAAATGGGTAGGTTCTACCCGGAACCAAATGGAACCACCAACCTCGAACTAACTTTGAAGCGACCCCATCCATCCTAACATCAAGTTTTAAATTAATCCCTGTCAAAAATTTTAGCCTACATCCCCGATCCTTGACATAGAGGGCTTCCCCATCGGGGACCTGAATCCCTTAATTTTTTTTAATTAAAAGTTTGTTTTTAGAAGGGTATTTATTTAAAATAAAAGAAAAATTAAAATACAAATAGTATTTTAAATATATTTTGATAAATATATATAGAATAATATAAAAAATATTATAAATGAAATAAATAATATTATATATTTAATATAATATCTATACACATATATTTAATATATATAATCGGGGTTGGGGCGTGATGTGGGTTTCACTCCCCGTCCCAATCAAGTATTCATATTAATTCCATCCCCACCCTATCCCTGCCTGATCAGAGAGGCTAGATAGTTGATGGGGAGGGAGAAAATTACCATCCCTACCCCTGGTTTGTGTAGCTTCATAAAATAATAACTCAGGGCCCGTTTGGCGCATCTTTTTGAGAAGATCTTCTTATAGCTCTAATAGTCAAAAGATGCATTGAGCTTTTGACATAAGATCTGGGCGGCCTGAAGACAGTTTGGTAGACGCACATATTTCCATGCACTTGCCCACGTCTTTCTATGTGAGATTAAAACGCAAAAGACGCGGCTTCCCGAAATTAGCCCAAAATGGGCTTCTCGCATCTTTTTGATGCAGTTAGATCTTCCACAAGCCAAACAAGAATAGACCGAAAATCAGTCTTCCTGGCTTGTAAACAGCTGAAAGACCACACGGAAAAACGTGCCAAATGGGCCCTCAATAAGCCCAATTGTTAGGGTTGGGCCTACGTTGAGTAAAACCCGAACGAGCCCGCCCGACTTCATCCGTAATCCCGGCCCAACCCAGGATTAGCCTGCGAAGTTCTCTCTCTCTCATGTGGTAGCAGCGGCAGCGGCACAACGACGATTAAAGGTAAGCCACCATGGATCTCAATTTCTCTCCTCTCACTCAATTTAATTGTCGCATTAAAATCTTACCTGAATTGAAAAATAGGGTTGAAGCTTCCCGAAATCAGCCCAAAATGGGTTCTCGCGTCTTTTTGATGCACCGTTTTTACGGGAATAGACCGAAAATCGGTCTTCCCGGCTTATAAACAGCCGAAAGACCGCGCCAAACGGGCCCTCAGTAAGCCCAATTGTTAGGGTTGGGCCTGCGTTGAGTAAAACCCGGACGAGCCCGCCCGGCTTCATCCGTAATCCCGGCCCGACCCAGCCTGCGAAGTTCTCTCTCTCTCTCTCTCATTCATGTGGTAGCACTAGCAGCGGCAGCGGCACAACAGCGATTAAAGGTAAGCCACCATGGATCTCCATTTCTCTCCTTCCACTCAATTTCACTGTCGCATTAAAATCTTACCTGAATTGAAAAATAGGGTTTAGGGTCTGAAAGGTTTTTTCACTTTTTCTGATTGTCTGGTCTAATTCTTTCCAATAAGCAAAACGAGAGAGAGAGCAGCGTCTTCTTCCTATTGTTCACTCTGAACCGAGACTTGTAGCTGAACAGCTCCTCTTCTTCCCATTCTTTCTCCCTTCTGTAACCTTGTTTTTCTAGGACTTAGGGTTCTTAGGGACAACTAAGCGGTCGAACCACCGAACCAACATCTGGAGCCGGAGAAATAGCGGTTCAGCCTCCGGTCGTTATACTCGCTTTTGAAAACATTTGTTGTAGCCACCGGCCTGACCCAGTCTCATTGTTGCCTGGGAGGAGTAGGGCGGAGATTGGAGGGCTGCCTGCGAACTAAAATTCTTCACCTTAGGTATTCAAAGAAAAGATCAATTTTAGTTTTCTTACAGTGTAATAGGGAATAATTTGTTCTGGGTTTCTTGTAGTCCTTTCCTTTTCGTTGTATATCACGAAATGTGGAGGTTCTCCTGTTAGTTTGTTTTATCAGATTGATTCTTTCTTTTCAGTTTCTGAACTGGTTTATGGTATAGTTTTCGCTATTACTTTCTGTATAAATCAAGACGATGATGGTTTCTGCTTGCAGTGCGTTGTGCTGTACTAGTAGTGTAGTAGGACTTATGTTTGTTTTTATGTTTTTACCTGTCTCGATTTGTCTGAATGAATCTGCCTTTTTTTAACAGAATCGATTAATAAGATATGTGTAGATTTGTTGGACTTTGATTTTGATTTTCTCTTTTTAAAAATATAATGTCGTCTCCGGTTTTTTTGGTGATAATATATGTGTTGCTTAGTTTTTGATGTATTTGATATCTAGTTTCAAGGGGTTTTTGTTTTATTAGATTAATTATTTGGTTGTCACGGCATTTTAGTGAATCATTTGAGCTTAACTGCCTTTCCTCCTGGAATTTTGTTCTTTTAAGATCTCTATTTATGTTTTGGTTCACACTAGCATCTTATTTCTTCTCAATTTCCTTGTTTTACATAATTCCACTTGTTCTTTTTTTACCAAAGATTAAAACTCAGAAATTGTGTAAACCTGCTAGAATGTGAAGCATCTTCTCTCTTCTCCTTGTTTATTTAGCATACAAACACGTTGCCTTTCACAGTTTTCATTGTATACTTTTTCTTGTTGAATTATTTATGGTTCTTTGATTAACAGTTCTTATTTTTTTCCCGGTTCATTAGGACTTTCAGTTTATTTTAATTTTATGTTGTGCATGTCCATCCACAATCTTTCTTTTGAAAATGTGTAGTCATAGCCTGCAAGCCTGCAAGCCTGCAATTCAGGTACCGAAGTCTGTATCTGAAATGAATTTTTTTTTTTTTTTTTTTTTGTAGCATGCTTTGTTTCTTTCTGTAATTTGATAATGCTTCTATATTTTTCTTTACAGCATCTTTTAATTAGACTATCTCTAATTCCAATTGGTTATTTTATTCCATTTCTAAGGGGTTTCATTCATCCCCGAAACTGCTTTAGTAAAATTTACTTTGCAATTCAATTGTTATCTGTAATTCTATTTTATACAAAAATAAATATTTAATAGTTAAGAACACCATAGATTTGTTTGTATTTTTGCACTCATTTATGTTCAATCACAGGAAAACCAGTTCAATAAAGCAAAAGGAAAAAAAAAGAAAGACAAAGAACATGCCTCTTTATGATTGTATGCTCTTGTTGAAGCCCCATGTAACAAAGGAAGCTCTGATGGACTTGGTTGCTCGGGTAGGAAAACATGCCCACAGAAGGAATGGTGTTCTGACTGATATAAAATCATTTGGTACAGTCCAGTTGGGTTATGGTATTAAAAAGCTTGATGGAAGATACTATCAGGTGCATCTTCTGTAACTGCTATTTTTTATCTGAGTTTATATTTATGATTCCTTGTTTCTTGTTATTTTTATTGTCTTCTATTTCATCTCTATTTCTCATGTTTCTCTTCATTACCTGATGTTATACTATGGTAATGTGCAGTACCACATATGTCAGTAAAAAGAATTTGATATACAGGGATTCATTGCATTGCGTGTTGGAATAGTATTAGATGATTTAGTTGAATTTTTGGTTAATTAGTTCTAATTAATTTTATTGAATATTTGAATTAGAGTACTTTTTTCTTCTTTTTTTGTAAAGGTAAAGCATAATTGTATTACTCTATAAAGGACATGCAATATAGCCCATGTATTGCTGTATTCTATACATTAGGAGGCAATAACTCCCCAAAATAGAGCTAAGCCAGTTGCTATCAGTGTTGCATGGACTCAGACAGGGGAATAGAATCAAGTATGTCTCCTTGACTCCAGGTGTCTGACTTGGCAAAGGCTGAAAAAATAATGATTTGTGAACACATTTATTAAAAATTATTTATCTTTTTTTGTGCATGTTGCATTATTGATAATTATTCATTTTGATTAATAGATGGATAATTGACTTTACTTGTTTGGACCCATATTTTCTGCATGTTTTATTCTCTTCTAACTAGCATTTAAGGCCCAGCATTCAGCCCACAAGAATTGTTAGAAAAGTCCATGGGAGTAGTACAGGGCTGATGGGAACTTTTAGTCTTTCTAACTTTTTGTTGGTATTAAGGTTTATGTGGGATGCTGCACCAGATAAATCTGCACTGTACAGTGGCAGTTTTAAAGGGGATTCTTATAAAAGGAATGCCATAAAAAGGAAACTAACTTTTTCAATTGAGTAGAAGGTTTGGGAATAAAAATAGAGGAGAAATGCAGAAGGATGGGAACCAAATGAAGTGATTGAAAAATGCTTATAGGGATTGCAAGCAGTCATACAGGATGGGAGCCAAATGAAATCAGAACTTCTTAGGAATGTGCTCCATGAAGGGGATTCAAAAATGCTCATTTAGTTTTCCAGAGGAATCAAGTTCTAGATTGGTAATGGATCCAGAATAAAACTCTGGAATGATCCATGGTGTGATAACCAGCCACCTAAATAATTAGTTATTTTTTTTGAAAAGTTAAAGTAATTGTATTAGTATCAAAAGTATAAGGTCCTGTACAATGAGAAGCTGTACAAGGTTTAAGGAAGCTTTGGTAAAAGACTGCTACATGATTCAGCAGAAGGTACAAATTGGTGTCTAAACCTCCATAGAGACCTGAATGACTGGGAACTGGGAAGTGGATGCATTGGCAACTCTTATGCTGAAATTGGAGCAAAATCAACTGAGGATCAGCTATCAGGATACTAGACCATGGATATGAGATTCATCAAAGGCATTCAAAACTAAGGGGATGTTTGATAACTGCTGAACTGGCTAAATTGAATGGCTTATTATTTTGTCTTTTAGTGAAATTTAATTGAAGAGGTTTTGAAGTTGGACGGGAAGCCACTCAGGTTTGACATCTCCAGTTCGCCGACGACACTATCCTAGAGGTTGATGAAGAAATTGTTTCAAATCTGAAAAGGGTCATCACCTGCTTTGAATGGATTTCTGGACTGCAAGTCAACTTCTCTAAGAGCAGTATCGTTGGTCTAAATCTAGTTGGTGCACATTCCTTGAATACTTTCACAGAGATCTTGGGATGCAAAGCAGAGAATCTCCCCTTCTCCTATCTGGGGATGCCTCTTGGAGGGAATCCGAGAAATCAAAGTTTTTGGGAACCAATACTAGAAAAATGTGAGAAGTTAACCTCATGGAAAAGGAATTACTTGTCCAAAGGGGGGAGACTCACTCTCATTAGAGCCTCTCTGGCAAACCTACCCACCTGCCAAACAAGGCATTTCCGCTTGCCAAACAAGGCAGCTATTCAGTTAGAAAAGTTTCAAAGAAATTTTATTTGGGAAGGAGGTGGGGAAAGGGGCTCTCACCTTGTGAGGTGGTCTCAGGCCTGCAAACCAAAGGAGGGTGGTGGGTTGGGAGTAGGCCACTTGAAAGAAAGAAACACAGCTCTTCTTAGTAAATGGTTGTGGCGGTTCCCCCTAGAACCAAGTGCGCTATGGACTACTGTAATCACTAGCAAATACGGGAAGAACACCAACGGTTGGGATAGCAAGCTTCACTTGAATCGGGTCAAAGACACCCACCCTTGGAAAGGTATAACCTTGACTTGCACTTTTTTCGTCTCTTTTATCAGATATAAGGTGGGCAAGGGCGATAGAATTAAGTTCTGGACTGATCTTTGGTGGGGTAACTCAACCTTGGCCAACTCCTTCCCTTGCCTTTTCAGACTTACCTCAAACCAAGAAGCTTCCATATCCTAGGTTTTACTCCCCCTATTTCAATTGGAACCTAACTCTTAGGAGACCTCTAAGGGACCTGGAACTTAGTGAAATCACTAACTTCTTGCACACCCTGAGAGAGGTATACCTCTCCCAAATTTCCCCTGACCTTCGTATGTGGACCCTTCACTCATCTGGTATGTTTTCAACCAAATCTTGCTTCAAGGCTTTAGTTAGGGAAGAACAAACCACTGATCAGTACCCCTACAAGAGAATTTGGTGTGCTCATATCCCTTCCAGGGTCAGTTTTTTTTTTTTTTTTTGTGTGGGAGGGCAGCTTAAAGAAAATCAACACTTATGATCTCCTTCAGAAAAAGAACCATGGAAGGTCTTATCTATTCCCTCATGTCTGTTGTTTCTGCCTTAAAGCCGGGGAATCTGCCAACCACATCTTGCTTCACTGTGAGGAAACTAGTAAATTTTGGAAATTTTCCTAACATTATTTGAATACAGTTGGGTTTTTCCAGAACATGTGGTTGAATGCTTAGGACAATGGTTAGGCAATCTGCTGCACATGCTATCTTTTGGAGCGTTTGGGAAGAGAGAAATAATTGGGTGTTTACCGACAGAACAAAAAACTGTGAGGAGCTTATTTCTCTAATCTATTACAGATGCTTCCTGTGGACTTCCAGCTCAAATTATTTCAGAGGGGTCACATTTTCTGACCTCCAAAGAAATTCCATAAATTTTCTTCACTCTAATCACATACACCTCAACACTTCCCACAGTTTCAGATTTTCCGAGGAAGGGGAGACAACTTTGTACTTTGATGGGAGTGCTTTCGGAAACCCAGGTGCAGCGGGTATTGGAGGCGTAATTCGAAGAAGAGATGGTGATATCAGTTGGGCTTTTAGTGGGTCGATTGGGATAGCTTCCTCAACAAAGGCTGAGTCATGGCAGCATTAACCGGCATCAGGATTGCAAGAAACCTGGGTTTATTAAATCTTACCATTAAAGGAGATTCAGCCAACACATAATTGGCTCACTAATCCTGACAGTGGGCCTTGGGCCTTAGCTCACTACTTGGCTGAAGTGAGAGACATCCTCTCCTCCTTGAATGCTCACATGGGCTGGGTTTCAAGGGAGCTAAACTCTGAAGATGACAGTCTAGCTAAATCTGGCACTTACAGGGATTACTTATTCAGTGATAGTTTTCTGCCTATGTAACTTTTTGAGTGTCTGATTTCTGTGTATATCTCCTCATGTACCTTTCTTATTTCGAATAAATCTAACCTTTTCTCAAAAAAAAAAAAAAAATGAAGAGATTATTGAAGTTGAAGTTAGGTTGATTATTATGCCCTCAAATATTTTATTATTAAATTATTTTATCTACTAAAAGAAAAAACGTTAAATCATTCAGTTCAGCCACTTAGCTGTTACTAAATGGCCCTTAAATCTTTTCCTAAAAGATTATCATATTCTGAGAGCAGAGAGCCCCAGCTTCCCAAGCAAACAGGTACGAATTCAGCAAGTCCCCTCTAAAAGACGAACTCATGGACAGAGGAATGACAGTTCAGGACCCTTTGTTGTACGCTATTATAAAAAGCTAAATGATACTAATAGTCACCTATTCCTGCATTGCAGTTTCAGAAAACAGGTTTGATCTTTTGTTATAGACAATTTTGGGGTTGATTGGATCTTGCTGCAAACACTCCAGGAAGCTATAGAAGGTCGACACATGACAGAGCTAAGAGTGGGAAGGTCTTATGTAAGTTGTCTCCCTCTCCCTTGGCGAATGTTTGGATCATATGGCAAGAGAGGATATTGATTTTAATAAGTGAAGAGAGGATGCTGATTGGGCTGATCTCTTCATGGCTTGCTATTCACAAGGACTTTAGAGAATTCAGGTTCTAGAGTTCTTTTATTTGTAGTCCTTATACGTGACATAAAGAGTTATTTTTGTAAATTTCTATAGAAACAGCGATGTGTTTGCAACTTCTTTGAAAAAAGGGCTTCAGGTGTATTTAAAGAGGAAATAGATCAGAATTGATAATGTTCTTGGATAACTGTACTCTTCTAAATTTCTGATCAAGGCAATTCTGTTCCTATCTTTATTAGTTCTGATCCTCTTCAATTTCTTCTGACTTATATATTTCCTCATGCTGTTTGTAAGTGAAAATGTAGTTGTATATTGCACTTGGCAGTTAGAGTTCTTTCAAAATCCTTCTTTGTTTTAGACTTCCAGGTCAAGAAGGAAAAGCATGTAAGCTAAGGAAGAAAATCTATGGGCTTGAGCAATTAGAGAGGATAGTTTCAGAGGTTTATGTAGGCAATTCGATAGTTGGTGTTCAAAGCCAAGTTGATTATTTTTGTGTGTGAAAAAGACATATTCTATCAGTGTTTTAAAAGTGCAAGGTGCAAAAAAGCCCAAACTGCTTTTTGTGCCTGAGGCACAAGGTGCAAGGTGTGGCACATGCATTTTCAAGCAAAGCACAAATTTTTTTAAAATTCAAAAAATGCAAAAAAATTGCAAAATAATCTAAAAACATTCAAAATAAATCAAGAGTATATTAAAAAATAGTATTAATTAAAAATGCATACTTAAATTTTAAACTGAATGTTTTAAAAAGCCTATTAGCTCAAATTAAAAT